GGCAGAAATAACTCTCATCCCCAGACCCGCGTGTCTGTCTCAGCCGGCAAGGGCCTTGACGCTAGGAAACTCTGGCTCTAAAGACACTAACTTAATTGGCTGGATTTTCACTTATTCGCCGCTCGTTTCTTCCCCCAAAATATGCACTGGTTAATCTTTAGCTAAAACTGATCGATTATTGACATCTACAGACCTTTTAAACAGATTTTAACAAAGGGAATTTAAATTACAGTCGGACCCACCTCTCGTAAGAGACCAACCTCTTCTTTCAAAACACCAAAAGTTTTCTAGTCGTTAAATCACTATATTTGGAACCTCTTGTAAGTGACCGCCTCTCGTAAGCGACTGTGACCAATTTTACAGATAAAAGTTTGAAATTTTCTTTTGTTTCTAACCTCCCGCAAGCGACCACTTGACAGATAATAGAGCAGAAATTGGGTAATGAAATGTTGTAACATTATCGTATTCCTGGGCAGTACACGAAACGGAAATTTCTCAATGGGAAGTATCGGATTTTTTTTTTTCTCAAAATTGACTCTCACATGAATAAAACGTTAAAACATGGGGTAAGTCTCTGCAGTTACCATATGCTAATAAGGAAAAGTTTTGACCCAATATGGTCGAAGCGACCAAGGCTTGATGTTTTGGGTGGTTGCTTACGGAAAGTTCCACTGTAGAAGTTAAAGTCTGGCCGAATGTTTCGGTGTAACTCAATTTTAACGTCTTGAAGGTCTGTAGGCTCTGTTACCAAACCGGAAGGAAAGGAGCGTCGAATTCGTGAAAGTCCTTAACCAACAATCAAGGCAACCACTGGTCTACAAACTTTTCCTAAGGCCAAGCCCCCGCCAGCTGGGAGAGCTGATGGCAATTCTGCGAACGAGAATAGTGCAGATATTGAACACCAGTCCCCTCACTTCCCACGAGTCCTGTCACAGACCTCACATTCCAGAGAAGGTGTGGTTTAACGTTTACGGTTGGTGGGGGCCTCGACATATTTTCCTTTGTTCTGAGAAGCATGTATAATTTAATTTCTAGTTTCTTTCGAGCCCTCCTCACGCTCCTACGTCGGGTTAATTGCCCACGTGATAGGTTACAAGTGGAGGGGAAGTAGAACTCCTATTGGGAAGCTAGGAAAATTGCCGGAAGTCATCTCTTCCTTGCTCTCCGAAAAAAATAACATTCGATTGGTTGAAAGTACTCAGGGAAAATGTCTCACTTTCAACTAACAGTCTGTCAGTGAAAAGAACTGTGTGTCGCGTAACACAACCAAAACATGGGCATTCTCCCATGACAAGACAATCACACTTGAAGCACAATAAGATCTAACGACTTTGAGGACCGAGTAGTTAAGTGCATCGTGTTTTTTCGTCAGCCGTTTTATCTTAGAGATGCGGGAAAATTGAATACGAGTTTTCAGCTCTGCTGATGTTAATGACTGAGACAAACAAAACTCAAGCCGTAAGTAAGGAGACGTTGTATTATGATGGTGGTGGAATCTATGGGAATAATGACTTCCCTGGCTTGAACTACCGTAAATTATGTTTATTTTTATTCGGAGCAGTTGTCTCCCAGAATATGTAAGTGATATTGATAGGAGAAATTGCATGTTGATTATCCTTGGAAAATAAGAGTTTTTAAAGAATGTTTGAAGCGTTCCTCACTTTAAATTTAAGCTTCGAGCAAACAAGACTCGCAAATAAGTTGATTTATCTCAAAGAAGCGAGAGTATCACTGCGCCAACGAATCACGCGTCTCGCGCGAATGGTACAACAAAGGCGGGAAAACGAGCTCAAGTCCAACTCACGATTGCTTTCGGTTTTGTTTACTGATTTGTTAGAAAAACAGCACGTTTGTTTTCATTGGCCCAAACACACATGCTGCTTTTTTCAACCAATCAGGGACCAAACCAAACGTTTACATAAAATACTTCGAGTTTAGCTTGATTCATCGTGTAATTTGTATTTTTGATGCGATTTGCTTGATTACAAGCACGCTATTTAAAATTACTTAACTGATTCAGAAGCTTGTTAACTGTTGCTGTTCTGTCACTGCGCACAGGAAGGAAATAGGAGACGTCCAGTTTTCTAATAACGTGCCGATAAGGTGCAACAAACTATCCAAGAACTTGTCTTCGTTCAACTTGGCTGGATTGGTAGAGAAGTCCTCAGTTCTCCGCAGTCATTATTCGGCCGTCACGCAATCCTTTCGAGCGTGACGATCGAAATAACGAACGCGACAAAGGCAGGTGGTAGAGCGGTCACATTGACACACAAGCAGCTGAGTAGAGTTAAAAATATATATACTTATTTCTTGATGCTTGATGAAATGAAGGGGTATCGAATGGTCTTTACGAGCATTTGCGAGCATGCGAGCAGTGCATTTATTTTTGCGAGCGCGAGCAGTGATCAAATTTGCCTTGCGAGCAGCGAGCACCTAGAAAATACCTAATGACGAGCAGCGAGCACTTCGTAAATTTAACACACGCAACCGGAAAAATAACACACGCAACCGACAATAATTGTATTGCCAAAACATATTTTCACTTTTTCGGTTCCACTCAAATCGTTTCAATTTCTAAGCTCAATTTAAATCCTAGAGTGTCATTTTTCTTTAGTTTGCAAAAATTGCGGTCGCAGAAAACCGTTATTTGAAACATTTTCAGTCCAAAGCAAAACTAAAACAAAATGTGAATTAACACGTACGATGTTTCTTGAGTCACAGTTTGCTTGTTTTGCTGGTATTTTATCATATTTCGCTTCTTGGAGCGTTTACAAGGCAGGTAGGGTTACCCTGGCTCTAGGGTAGCCCTAGCCCTAGTGCTCAGCTAGGACTACCTCAGAGCCATGGTAACCCTACCTGCCTTATAAACACGTTCGTGAAAAAAAAAAAAATAAATAAATAAATAAATGAGAAATGTGGGAGTGCTAGGGTAACCCTCTTACTAGGGTAACCCTAGCACTGGGGAAGAGCACTAGGGAGGTAGGAGGTAGGGTAACCCTAACACTGGGGTTACGCTACCTCCTGACCTTGTGAAAACACCACGAGAAGAAGATAAAAGCTCCAAATCTTGATACTGCAGTTTCCATACCGTTAAAGCAACCCCTTGCATTTTTTTTCCTTTGTTAACTTATTAACGGTACAACAAACACACCAAAGTTGTTTTCATTCTAATAAAAATAGCCTTTATAAAGAGTCAGAAGAAAATTTAAGCTGTGATTTCTCTTGAAAGTGGTATAACATCAAGATATTTCACTCACTCTTTTACAGTACGTGTAACACAAGTACTTTACTGCCTTTGAGTTTCACTAAGGATTGCATTTTGGTAAATTTTGCTCGTGGCGAACATTTCACACCAGGCGATGGAGAGAGGGGCGAACGTCAAATTGTTGTTGATCGTCTTCACCTTGACTCGTGTTGTCAAGTAAATCCACTCTCGCAACTAATATTCAGACCGCCTAACAGGGACTTTTGGCCTTCGCGGGAAAAAACAGTCGCCGCGTAGAATGGAATGTATTGCAAAAATTATCCGCAAAATTTCAACCGATCCTTTATGTCAACCTTTTCATTAAAATCCTCGCGAAACTAAAAGGCAGTGGAGTATTTCGACTACGAGTTGCGGAGGAAATAATTGAAAAGATTTTGCCGAAAATGTGTTCTACTTTTTACTGCAAGAAAAGTTATGAGTTTAGTACTTAGAACTTACAAAAATATTCCGCTACAAAATGTAACGAGAAAGCCGGTAAAACATTTACCTTACGCACTCGTAGCTAAATTTGAGGAGAAAAAATACTAAGCTAAATTGGAACAAAATAAATGACTTTTTCTACAACGGTAGTCTGAATTCTGAAGAGTAACCATGAGATCCCTCAGTCAGGACATAGAGTTACTGTTCTTGTGAAATTCTCGTAAGTTTTCGGAAGAACTGTCTCCATTTCGTTTTTTCATCACTGTACAATTAACGTCATATTACCTAGTGACTTCTCTTTGACACTAAGAACACTAAAAGATAACAACGCAATTCTGCAACTCCAAAAAAGCATTTTCTATTTGGTTGCGAAAATGTTCGCATTCAAAGTCATGTGACCTAGGTTAGTCAAAAGGTACTTTAAATATACTACTATCAAGTGCCATTCACCTTATGTAATGAATTAATTCCGACTTCCGACTTACAACAACTAGCTAAAGTGAGTCCGACGGAGTTTAAACTAGGATTCCAGAGTTCAATCCATGAACGCAACGAAAACATATAATAAGTCAATATAAACTAAGGGGGATTCCTCGAATTCCGCACACCCCCATCTTACCAAGTGGACCAAAAACATTGATTAATGTCCTTCACTGTTCGATAATAATAAAGTCTACAATAAAGACATCTAAACTATTCTGCAACTGAGTCATAATGTGTTCTCTACGCAACTTTGTCTTTAAATTAGCTTAACCAACGGCTCTAAGCATTAGTCAGTAGTCCCCTCCTTTCTTCGCCTGCTCGAGCTGCCTGTCTCCGTGGTCGCAAAGGCATTTCTTTCAGTTCTGCTTGGTTCCCTTCTTTCAATACACTGGTGACGTCTTCAAGCAGTGAAGCTCTCCGGTTTCTTCTTAACATCATCTAGAATTTCAAGGGTAAACAAGTGTTGTAGAGGACGCCGTAAATAAGAACTCTTTCCCTTATCAGCAATGCGGACGACTGCTTCCTTTATCCTCTCGTCGACTCATGGTGCTCACAGGGCAACCATGCGGGAAATGTAGGTGTTTCCTGTAGAGACGAGTTGCAGTGCGTTCCCTTGCACCTGAAGATTCCATTTATGTCTCTGATGTGACTGATAAGACTTCCAGATGCCTTGGAGATATCTTGCAGAAGAATCTTCATTTGTACAATACTTGGTGAGATTGGTGAGCCCATAGGATCATAAAAGCTTGCTATCACTCTGATTACATTCCGTTTTGTGGGCATTAGACCTTCTGCGCTTTGCACAGGTGTCTGAAACTTGTACAACAACTCATCATTCAAATAGTTCTCTGTCCTCCTTCTTGACGGCTATCATGAGGAAGGCTTTCTCTATGTCAGCAACTAGTGCAATTGGCTGGACTTTAAATCTTATGAGAATGTCTAGGATGTCAGGAGTTAGGGGTGGTCCAGTATGGAGGCAATCATTTAATGGTGGCCCATTTTCTCTTGCTGATGCATTATACACAATGCGAAGCTTGGTTGTTGACTTGTCTTCTCTTACGACGCAGTGATGAGGAAGGTAATGTATCTGGTGACAAGGCTGGGCTTTCTCAGATTGGTCTACTCTTTCGATTATTCCCCTGTCAAGCTGATCCTTAATCACACGATCATACTCCTCGAATTGCTCTAGCTTCTGGCTGAGTCCCTTCAACAAGGATTGTAATCTTTTTTGACTGAGACTGCGATTGTCAGGCAGTGAGTCACGAGCTTTCTTCTATGGAAGGTCAACTTCATATCTTTGATTCCTAAGAGTGATTGTCTCAATGAATGTTTCTAGAGCAGAGTTTTCTTCCTGCTTAATTCCAATTGATTCCAATTCCCAGAAGGTGCGGAGTTTCTCGTCAAGCTCCATCTCATGCACGTCCATGTCATCTCTGCGAGCGTCAATCCAGAGTACATGTGTTGCTGCCAAATTGACTGAATGAGTATCTGAGCGAGGTGCATTCTCGACGGGACCAGATAATGTCTATCCAAATCTTGTGTTCATTGTAGCCGGTCCACTCTCTCCTCTTCTGACCTCTCCATTTGCAATGTTCCAATACTGATCTGCTCCAATGAGAATGTCTACAACAAGATTCTCTTCTGCAATACATTCCGACAAAACAATGTCCTTCAAATGAGCGACTCTTCCTTGCAAATTGAACTGCTTGATAATTCACCGGTGAACCGATCATTGGTACAACATGGGCTGTAATGGTTATGTACTAAGGCGATGCAGGTTTGCAACAAAATCCATGTCTTGCTGTCAACATAAATGCTAATTGCTGAACTTGGTTGTCCACTTCCTTGGGTTG